CACACTAAAGACACAACCTATTTCATTGAAATCTTGATTCAAAAGAAAGAAATGCCGCTAGGTATGTTAGAAAGGCTGAGAAAACCACTCCGGGGGACATTCTGAGCTTCTGATTGGTTATTCAGTCATACATAGAAATAAGTGTATATAAGGGAGCATTTCCAAAAATGTAAAGAGGTGAGCGGGGTGCCACTGTGTTTGATTTATTATGTGAACAATATTTTAGCAAATGTAAAAGATAAGACCTTGTAATATCAGTAATTTGAGTTTCTAATTCCTATGAAACTGTAGACTTAGTATTTTGACTTCACAAACATCTACTTTGAACCAGTGCTGCATTAAACAAACCATGTGACACACAAAAATCAATGTTTATCTGTGTTTTTTAATATTTACTTTTAGATTAACAGACCGAGTAATATATAGTTCTAAAATTTGAATTATAATCTAGTTTGATACCAAACGAATTGACATAAATTCATGAAATAGTAGTTCAATAAAATTTTGAATGCCAGTCAACAAACGAGATAACATGGCCTTTCACCTGTGACCCATCTCGAAAGGGTTGAACAGGTTATTAGGAAATGGAAAAGAGCATATAAAGAAAGGTTATCTGAAAATGGAAAAATTGCTAGTATTTCCTTTAATACTTTAAGGGTGAAAAAATATTAAGATGGGATTAGGACATTTGAGGGATGATAAAAGAAGGCTAATTTATAATGATTGAGACGACTTGGTTATTAAATTCAAATTTAAAAAAAATTTTTACTAACAAATATTTAACCAGTATTCCTAATCCTGTACAATTGCTACATGGAGACAAGTTCAAACAAGGTGATCACATAAATTCTGAGCTTGTTAAGGAAATATTGTGAAGTTTAAAGAATGATAAAGTTCATGGACCAGTTAATATTTTTCCAAGGATTTTGAAGGAAGTTAAGGTTTAGGTATGTGAGCCACTTGCTACTATTTTTTTTGCTTATTCTTGAATAGTTGGCAGGTACCAGAAGATTGGAAGTTGTATAATGTTACTTCTCTTTTCAAGGGAGGTTACAAAATTGTCTTACTAATTTATTTGGGAAAGTTTAGGAAAGTCTGATAAAATATGCTTTGCAAAGCCATTTAACAAAGTTGAATAGTTAGCATGGTTTCACAAGGGGAAAATTTTGCTTTACTGATCTTTTGGCATTTATTGAAGAAGTTACTGCTTATGTAGATGAGAGTTAAGGTGTAGATTTGTATCTGGATTTTCAGAAAGCATTTGACAAGGTTTCACACAAAAGGCTTGTTAAAAATAAGATATCTGTAGGTGTGGAGGATGGGTTGGCACATTGGATAGAAAAGTGGTTTGATGGAAGAAAGCAAAGGATTTTTATAAATGGAGTTCAGTCAAACTGAAATAATGTCGCAAGTGGAGGTACCTCAGTGCTGTTAGGGCCTTTGCTCTTTTTGAGTGACATCAATATCGTAGGTGAAGGAATGGTCAGTAAATTATTAATGTTGATGATATTAAGTTCTTAGGTGTTGCTGGCTGTGAGAAGGATTCTACTGCTGTACAAAATGATTGATTATTTGATCAGTTGGGCAAATAAATTTTGGTTGGAATAACCTTAACATTGTTATGTAAGATTTAAATCTTGGTGTTCTGGTTGATCAGTCTCTTAAACCATACAAGCAGTGTGCTGTTGCTAGTGGCAGAGTATATAGGATTTTAGGTTCTTTCTACAGAAATATTGAGTAAAAGTCTAAAAATGTTAGTCATTATATAGGTCATTGGTTAGGCCAAATTTGGAGTAATGAATTTAGTCTTGACTTCCTTATCGTAGGAAGGATATTGAATTGTTTGAAAGGGTTCAGAAGAGGGTTCCTAGATAATAATAATAGTAGGTAAATACAAAATACAGTGTAAAGCAATCAAAGTTTAGATCTACTATTATGGAGCCAGAATTTTGGAACTTTCAGTCAAACTGTCCAGGTGGAGTGCAGTTCTGGATACCTGCATCCTTTCCATAGTCTGGTCCCCAGAGGAGCAATCTTTTTATCTCAATATCCACAAGATGTTAGCTGCTCAATGAACTTGACATTTTCTTCTATCTGGTCATCTTGTTATGAGCTGTTTAGACAACCACACTAACTTTTCAGGCCCATAACTACCAAATTTCAATTTTTGTCCTGTCAAGTCCCACAAACTTAAAACTTGATGGTGGATTGATTGTTTCAACTAGACCATATCATTACCACAGTGCAGTCACTATATCATCTGTTATTTCAGTGCTTTTGTTCCCAATTTGAAAGTACTCTCATAGACTAAGTTGCCAGTCCTTTCATCACCATGTTTCTACTTTTCTGGTCACTAGTCTAAGACTGCATTTCTGGCTGTGAATATTCTGAATCCTCTTGGTCCGGTCTCTTTTTTGTATGTTCATCAATGACTTTCCATCTTTTCCCTGGCCATTTTTCCTTTTTTGTTTCTGTAGTTCATATGGACATTTTCCAGTTCTTTCTCATCAGTCATTCCCCTCTTCTGGACTAGAACCTCAGTTTACTTCTCAGAGCTCCCATATGTCTCTTAGTTGAACATTTGGCCATCTTTCCCTAAAGATGTATTTTTTTTCTACTTCTCATTTGTGGGAGATGTCACTCTGATATTTTGCTTTGGATGCCTCCTACACACATTGTCCCAGGGACAGATCAATCATATTACCACTGTTCTTTCCTCTTCAGGACTTCAGCTACCTAGGAGGGTGAACAGTTGTCTTCTGTAATCACCTTCCCTTCTCTTTATCTTCTGTACAATTGTTCCTACCCGTGTCTTTTACTTTGTCCTGTACAAAGTACCTTTTGCTTTCCTGCCTTTATTAGATGAAAAGTATTCCTTGTATAAAAAAAGATGCAGTCTACCACCATATATGCCCCAGTAGCCCCCCCCCCCCCCCTTAACTGGATGAGTTTTCTCTTTCTGACACTATACTTTTAGAAAGGAGCTCATCTTTTCACTTTATCTATGCTGGTCCCTCCACCATCTTATCCTGTATGAGAAGGATGCGATCTACCACCAAGTATGCCCCACTAAGTTCCCCTCCCCTAGTGGATGTACTCTAGGAGTTATCCCTTTCTGACTCTTATAATTTCAGAAAGGAGCTTGTTTCTCCACTATCTTATCTATGTGAGATTTTAACTTTCAGTTCTGTGCAAAGGTGAATAAAGTTTGTGAATTTATCATTTTCCTTACCTGAAAATGTATTTCATATAAATACTCACCTCTCCACTGAACCACCTGTTATACCCCCTCATTTCCAGTATGTTACTGTTGCCTCATCAAGAATGTGCTTGTAGTAATACAGTATACTTGGTTGAACTACTAGCATGTTGGGTGTGTCACCCTCATATTGCTGGAGTGTTTAGTCTAGTGCTGGTTGCATCATAGGCTAGTGCAGGACATGATAATATATGTCAGGGTGGAAGTTTTATTCAAGGCTTGGCACATTTGAAAAATAGTGTTGGCAGTGGTGATAGGTAATAGCTCTTAATTCTGTGGAGAGGTAAATAGTTATCTGAAATACCTTTTCAAATAAGAAAAATGTTAATTTGCAAGGAAGGAACACATCCTTAAGTATCCGATTTGACTAGCTTATTACTGGCCAAGGTGTTAACTTCTTGCAGGAAATTTCTTAATTGTAAATTTATCAGCAACTCCTGTATTGAACTTGAAGTTTTAATGTAAGCAAAAAACAAGTAGGTTCACATTCATCAATAAATAATAAAAAAAAATTCCATCTTCTGTATCTCACCTGTAGGTGTTCTGGTAAGAAGTAAAAAGGAAAATATTGCTTTTGTTATAAGTTATAAATAATGATTTAGATTTGAATAGGGATGCACAGGTAGTAAAATTTGGCCGAATACTGGGTCCAGGTACAAGGTCACTAAGCTTTGGCTGGGTTTGGATGTCAACCTGGTTATCCCCTAGCTCCCTCCCCCAAAAAAAACCAATAACAACATACGTACATACATACATACATAAAAATTGAAACAAAAAACAAAATTGACATTTATTACATTTAACTGAATAATCACCAACAGAAAATTTAAGTTTTACTTTCTGCTTTCAATGCCTAGCCCCAACTTCTCAAACCCTAACCCCTATTGTTCTTAAAACCCCCACCAACTATTGTTCTCCAAATCCCTAACTTTCAGCGTGTTAGTTGCCACAAAGATTAAGGCTTAGATGCCATTTTCAATTACCCGGATTCAGTTGTTTTTAACTTCGACACTCGGCTGGATACGAGTATTACCAGGTAGCCCAATACCCAGGCGGGTACACATGCATCCCTAGATTTGAATATAGTTTTAAAAGAGGGATAAACATTCAGAAATGTTACAATATTTATAGTAAAAGATAAAAAATGAATTTTTACTGTTCACTCGAATACTATTAATTTGACAGTACTTGGAAATATTTGACCATTAGTTGACTAGCCAGTTTATTTTTCATCAAGTACACAGCCATAATTAAGATCATTAGACTGTAGAATTATTAACAGATTTTTCTCTATGTTAAAATTATTTTATTGCGAGCTTTCAGGCCTCTTACCAGAGCCGGCTTGTTGCCCAATGAAGAGGGCCGAAAGCTCACAATAAAAGTGTTTTACATTGAGAAAAGTCTGTTTATAATTCTACATATTAATTTACCTACATTATGAGTCTTAAACTGCAATCATTAAACTGTTGTAACTTTCTTGAATTATTTCAATTTCATTTCTCAACTGGAAAAACAACATTATCTTGGTTTTCAGTTAAAATTTTCTTCTGTTTAAAAGTAAAATTTAAAGTTGTGTTTATGCTATTCTTTGATAAATACTGTAGTTAAAATATATGATAATTGAAAGTTATGCTTAAAGCTCAGTTTTTGAGACCATTGCAGGAATATTATAGCAGCCAGGTAGGTCTTGTTGAATGACTAGTTTTATTAAAAACAAAATTTTTTTCTTTTTTTTTTTCAGTAAGAAAGGTTTTAAAGTCAGATCATTTGGGTCTGGAAACCAAGTAAAACTACCTGGACCATCTCCAGATAAACCTAATGTGTACGACTTTGGTATTTCTTATGAACAAATGTACCAAGATTTGTTATCCAAAGATAAGAGTTTGTATCCTTTAAGGAAATAATATATGTTTGTTTAGTAAATACATATGAATGCTTAAGTCATTACCCATTTGTTTTGAAATTCAAAATCTTCCACTGAAAATACTATACTGTTTTAGCAAGCACCAAATAAGTTTAATTTTTGTTAATGCCATGCTTGAACAAATTTTCTAAATCCCCCTTTTTTTTTTTCTGAAAGTAAGCTTTAAGTGGGGTATCCTGTCTTATACTGAGACAGGATTTGGTCATTATTGGATCTAAGGAAAGTATTTTTTTTATGATGTTTGTATGTAATTGTGGTTACAAGGAAGTAATGTGGGATTTTCAATTAAAAACTGATTTCCTTACAGATATTAGATAGTTTCCACAATAACTGCAAAATTTGTCCAGAAAAAAATTATGATTTTTCTTGTGTTTGAGATACTTTAATTGAGTGTTCCTTTTGGTTGGTAAAAAAGTAGGCTGGACACATTTTAAGTAAACAACCAGAATCTTTATTCAGACAAAAAAAAAGAGAGAAAACTAAATATGCATGTTCAGCATTGTAATCTTCTTACTCTTAAGTCAGAATATTGCAGTCCTGAACATGAAGACAGGTGGAAGTGGGTGAGAGAAATAAAGAAAGAAAGTGAACATCACCTTGCTTTCTTTGTCCATCTTCTCATGACCTTTGTTTCTCACAGAATTGGTCATTTATCCTATCTAACTAATGTCAAAAGTTCACCCAGCAAAGGATATTCATGTACTAACAAATTTAACTTGGGTCTAAAATACAGACTGACATATCCCTGTGGGCAGAAGACATCATTTAACAAAAGAACAAAGAGTGAAGGCCCCAAGAATAACATAATGTTAGATATCATGAACCACTTGTTGCTATCATGACAGTGCATGTCTATTCAACAGTTTAGAAAAAAATTATGTGGTAGGAGAATATGGTATTCCTGTATACCAAAACCTTCCCATCTAAGTTCTTGGACTTGTCCTCAGACTGACAATTAAAATTAACTTTAAATCTAATTGATTTTAAACTCTCAGTGTGATTCCAAAGTGTATTAAGTTAGCCTTATTCCTGTAGCATGTACACAAGACTAAAACATCACAAAACCCTTTAATTAAGAAATACAATAACTACAATATCAATATCTTTAACACTAAATCATGTTTATTACAAACAAAACTTCTTTAGTTGAAAACATATGAAACACTTTTTAACATTGAGCCAAAGCACTGAATTACATGCCATACATACCCTTTTAACAATGATACAAAAATAAGAATGTTACAAAAATTAAGTATTACACACATAGTAATGATATGGGTACATACTGGCATTAAAACAAATATAAAACGAATAAAATCAAAAAATAAAATACACTGTTAATCTGTTCACCTTAGTAGTGGACAGTCTAACAAAGTAAATAAAATGAAATTAACTAAACTTTTAATGAAAATCATGAATGAACTCAAACTAATGAACTGAATACATGATAAAGGAAGGAAACTTCATTTCAAATGAAACAAAACTAAATGGTAAACGAAGAACAAAAAATATGTACATTGACTTTGGGTTCTCACTGAGAGTACTGAAGCATCACTTACACTCGCCATAACCCTGCTGGCAGCCTATCCAGGGCCACTTTTGTTTTGTAGCTGGCTGCTTCTGCTTTTTTGAGATTGTCCTGAGTCTTCTTCAGGACTCTTTCAGTGTTAGCCATACTGGCCTGCAGGTGCCACACCTCCTCCATACAGCATGTTGGAGGGTTGTCCTCCATCTCAGTCAGTCCTCTTCTATTATTATATAGGCACATGCTTAAGTCCATTCTGAGGCCATCTGATGGTGGCTTTTCAACACTGGGATTGGTTCTAGCATCAGACAGTGATCAAACACCTTTGGTGACTTCTCCAGCAGCTCTACTCTGGTACATCTTGGGAAAGGGCCTCATTATTTCTTGGCAGAAGGCTTCTCACTCACAATGATGGCATATCTTCATCCAAGATGCCTGGTGTTTGTTGCTTAACCTTTTTGATGTGGATGTTCCTTCACTGACTACTGATGTCATGGCCTCTTGCTCACACTGACCATGAATCCTATTATCCTTGGTCTTCTTGCAGCTTTGACACTCCTCAAAATACACCTAGGTCAGGGAAGGTTTTTGAGGTTTGGGAGTATGGTACTCTCTTTGGAGGCATGAGCACATCTGGTGACTTCTCTGAGTGCTGGTAATGCATTATCCAGTTGGATATGCCAGTGGACTCTTGTTTTCCTTGGCCATTTTCTTTTCTTTCACCTGTGCCATCATTGTTGCCTCCAATAAAGTCTGGTGAGCAGTTGGGAGACTGATTTCCTCCACTGTGGTTGTTATCTTAACTGCAGACTGTGTCTTCTCCACTGGATTGGTGGTCTTCATAGTCCATCAGTTCTCTACTGTTGAAGACTATGGTGTAGTTGTTGATGATTCTAGAACCTATCTGATTACCAATGTGCCCTTCTGCCATGGTTATAGGTGTGGTGCATATCATGTTGAGCTCCATGGCTCCAGCTTTAGTAGTTCCATTAGCCTTCTTACTTGGGAGGAAGTGCCTGGCATCTTCCAGAAGATAGAAGGTCAGGATGACATGGTTCTAATTCTGAAAAAGATAGACTGCCAACACCAGAACTTCATTGTAAATACTCAAAAGCTAGGGTTCAAATATAAGGTTAACTGAGTTTTAATTGATCAGAATTCCAGCTAAGTATGTAGGATTAAAGGGGTTCATAATGTCCAGTTATAACCTTGAAGGAAGTATTGGTCAAACAACATGTCTATAGGCTTAATGTGTATTCAAGCCCATCCTCACCTGTAAAATGTGTCTGGGGAATCAAAGGACTTCCTGATTTACTGGCTTACTCAGGTTTCCAATGTACCAGCTACTTCTGGCCATACTCCCCAACATTGCCACTTCCCTGACCTACTCTCTGGTTGTCATGCAAACAGCACCCAGGTCCAGTAGAAGGGATTGTGGATGGGCACTACACTGTTGAGTTGATTCGAATCAGGTACAGTACCTCACATTTGACCACTAGCCTTTGCCAGCAGTTCCATTGTCTTCTCTCAGAGGCTCTCTTCCATTTATAAACTGTATAATAGTTATGGCATATTACAAGGCTTCACCATGTCAGCAACTTCTGCCTGCCCTGTTACATTTACAGCAAGCATTTTCATGCCTCAAAACTGTATTTTATAATGGAACAACATCAAGAAATCATTAGGTGGAACTGTATGCTTATTAAGAATATTTCAGTCTACCTGATTGAGGATATTTCTTTTATGATTAAGTGAAATGCTGGACATACAAATGTATATATTTTTCATGATATCTTAGCCATTGTTTTTGAATATCATGTAATAACGACAACTTCAATAGCTCACAGATATTGTAATCTAAATAAAAAATATCACTACTCTATACTTTATAGGAAAACCAGATAAAATTGTGCCAAAACTACAATGAAACTGTGAACTCGACACACCAGTTAAATTGTTTCTTCTTTTCGTTCTAGTATGAATCATTATTTTCATTGAAACACTTTCTCATCAATAATTTATAAATTCCCAAGTTCAGAATTGAGTTCTCTTTCTAATTCTATCCATGATTTCTTTCTTTCTTCAGCTCGCTTTATTATATTTTATTGCCATTTTCTATGTGTAGTTGCCTTATTCATTTTGATTCCTTTCAAACATTGATGAAGGACTTAGTATAGTGTTTCTGACGTATTTGTATTAGTTTACATATATCTATGGATTTATATGTAAGCCACCATTACACTTTAAGTACTTTTGTACTTTTCACAGCTTGCCAAACTTCAGTAACATATGTTTTACCTATGGAAGCTATGCTTCTTGTGATGGTTGTGCCATCTACTAGCCATCAAACTCAACTTGTTTTTATTTCTGACTTCACAAAATAAATAAACATGGGTAAAAACATTTTTTTAATTCAAGAGTTTCTGAGCAAAAGCTTTTAACCAAGATTAAAATTTATGCTCCTACATCCTGATAGAAGACTAACATCTCTTGTTTATCAGATCCAGCACATATCCCACAAACATCCAGTGTGAAATCTAGCAGGCATTGGGTGATGCATTCTGCCAAGACCTTGCCACTCTGCTACCTTCTTGAAACTTCAGATCATACTCCATCACATGAAATCCAATTTATGACTCAGAAAGTAACTGCAATGCCCTTTCAACCATAAGTCATGTAACTACTTGATTGTTCTAGCTGTAGGAAATCGAGTAGTGGTCAACAGATGTAATCCACACTTCTGTTGAACCTTTCTACATGATAGCTTAGAGACCAAGGAATGCCAGTTTCTTTCAGTCATTAAATGCATGACCCAATGATTGTACTAGCTATCCTGCACTGAGTCTCGTCTGTATCAATTGGGAGGCTGATATCAGCATTTTGACAGCAAATTGGAACTGGCGATAACCTCCATTTCTGCTGGCTCTTAAAGACTGCCAAGTAAGTGTCTGCTGTGTCTTCCTCACTATGAGATAGGTCATGATAATTCAAGGCTTAATCCTTTCTTTCGTCAGACTTGTTTCTTTCCTCTCTAGATTCCTGGTATAGCCAGTATATCAAAGGCTTATCTGTTACATATGAATGCAGCTTATCAACATACTCCATGCACGTTTTCATGCATAAACACCTGTATTTCATATGTTAAGAGACCCACTCATTTGAGTACTAGGTATAAGCCAGTCCATCCAGATTCAAGTTGCTTCCACGCTGCTTGCACATACCACAACCATACCCAGTCACCAAATTGTAATGTTCATCCCGTCATCATTTGATCGTACCTTTTGTTCTGCCTTTCAGACTTGTTGTCATTTAACCTTGTTCAGCAGCCATTAATGACTAACCACTCTATATACTCATGAAGATCTGTGATACCTCCGATATGGACATGAGCAAATCCTGCAGATGGCATGTTAATCTCTGTTCTTTTGCTCTGTGC